ATTACCTATGGAATAGGGTGTATATGGGGAATGCCCTCTCTGTCCCCTTTATAGTCTCTTGGTTTCTTGGAGTTACTCTAGACAATTAAGGACCTATCCTATAAAGAACACATATCAGATCAACTAAAGAAAGCCTATGCGAAGGCCCCTTCGCTGAGAAGAATAAAGCGTTTTCTTCCCCATGATGCAATGATAAAAATTTATAAAGCATTTAGGCTACCTCATTTAGAATACTGCAGTCCTCTATTTGTAGGCATACTAGGTACAGGTCAACGCAACCGTCTCGAAGATGGCAACTGTTATATTTTGAGAACATTAATCGGGCACAACAAGTCAATGTCATACGACGAGGTGCTCACTACGGCTAGCATGACATCCTTATATTGTCGGCGCTTACACCAGGCGTTAATACTTCTTTTTAAATGCTTAAATTGTACGGGACCTACTTAAATTTGAAGCCTTTTTAAATATAGGCATACACCGTATGGGCTAAGAGGCGAGGGTTTGAATTTGGAATTACCTAACTTTAATCTTCAATTTAAGAATAATTCTTTCACTTATTCATTAACTAACTTATGGAATAGTTTGCCTTCTTGAGAGCGTCTTTCAAGTGATGCTAATGACTTCAGATAGTAAATTGCAAGATTGCAGCTTTTTAGAAAGACTGTCTTATAGTGCACGATTGTAGCCTTTTACTGTTTTTAGAACGTGTATTATAGTTTTCCAGTCACGTTTTAGTATACGGTTTTTTAGTAGGTTTTAGCTTTTTATATTTTATATTTTTATTACTAAGTTTTTTATATATTTGTTGAGTTGAATAATATCATAACATAGCTGTAATTATTACAGATTTTATTTATACAAGTTCTTATTTTTAACGAGTTTTCTAGCTCCTCGACGTAACGTGTCAAAATAAATGATTGATTGCTTGATTGATTGATTCTAGGCTTTCACTTTTTTAAACAATAACAACATGGCTTGAAGCTTTGTTGGTAAATATGACCAAGTTAGCACTTATGTTTCATGCAAAATTCCATTGTATCAAAACTATAAACGTAAGAAAGAAAAATATAGTTCAAATGGGGCCTTTGATTGCTAAAATTAAAAATAATAATTAAATTCTGAGCAACAGCGCCATCAGGGATAGGAAAAATATTTTGCGTGGTAATGTACATACCCGGGGCCCCGGGTGTACATAAGAAAAAATTGGTATAAAGTAAAATGTGTGAAAAGCGCAAGAATGGGGCGGAATTCATCAGAGGTATAAAAATATAAACTTGAATAAAATACAACGATCTAATATGGGCGAGTGTCACAGGACAAAGAGTCTCTTGAAAGGCATAATGATAGTCTTCAAAACAAAAGGTCCTCAAATTCGTTGCATTCTTCATAGGAGTTTTGGGCTATCTCAATGTAAATCGAGCAACAAAAAAATATGCTGGTTGACAAAATCTTTCGAAAGAGATAGATAAATTCTAAAAAAAAGGTCCGCAAATACGTTGCATTCCTCACGGGAGGTGAGGACTGGCTCAATGTAAATCGACCTGCGAAGAACACGCTGGTTCTGATAAAAGTTTTGGAATGTAACCCTATGCCTTGATCAACTATCGCTTAAAATTCAATTCACAGAGGAAAAGAGAACACTGAAAACCCTGGTTCTGAGTCGAGAAGCGAACACGCTACCTCAATGTGAATCGAGCTACAAAGAATAAGCTTGTTCTGACAATAATTTGAGCGTAAAACCCTATTCCTTGATCAGCTGCTTTTTCAAGAGTGGTTGTCAGAGTTACCGGGCAAAATGTTAAAAATGTCAACGGAAGGGGGTCAACAGAATAAGTTCATACTAACATCATAGATAGGTCTGGTGGAGTAATGGACAAATATACCAAATATAGGTTCTTCACTGCTCTTGTATCAGAGATACGAGCACTACTTTATTCAGGACTCCAGTAAGTTGAGTTAACCCAAGGTCATACAGCGAAAATAAGAGAGAGAGCTGCTATTTCTTGTCGTTTTTCAGTGAATTGTCTTACGTTTCTTTTAGTCATTTATTGTTTTCTATCTAATGTATCGCGTTTTTATTCTCACTGGACGAAAGCTTTCCGTCTTATGGAGATGCCATAACTGATTGAGATTTAGCATCCTTTCTTCACTGCTCAAATAACTCAATTCCAGACCCGTGAAGTTCAATTCTTGCAAGAAAAGCCCGAGCTTCTTTACTATCGCCAGATTAAGCTAAGAGAAAATTTCAAAGAAACGACCATATTTAATTACCGTTGAGGGTCATTTGACAGCGTTTTAGAGCCTTGCAAATCAAAAAGCACAACGCAAAGAAAAGACGGGGACGGCTATAAATTCGAACATTTAGATTGAAAGTTATTACACATCGGAATGTTTTGACTCTGAGAGGTACGTGGTGTACCAAACGGAACACTGATTTTGAAAGAAGGGTTTAGCTTCTAAAAACAGAAACCGTGGTGTTGCAGTTGTGGAGAGTGAAATGCAAAAATTTGTTTTTTATCAACTGAGTTGATATAGTATTTTGGCCTCTGTACAGGGATTGAGAAGCTGTGGTTTATATAACAGATGCTATTTTGAAACACAATGCTGTTTAATCCGTTCGATCAAACTTTCAGCCAGAGATGTCACGCCTCCTGAACGCGAGCTGCAGTGATGTTATTACAGTCCCTCTATTTTTCTTGGTTCCTCCCAAATAGTCTCCCGGCCCCACAAGTAGTTTTGACACTCATGCAAGAAGGCAGCCCGTAACGCAAAGCGCTCGTTCTCGATTATCTTACGGAAAAATAGAGGACTGTGAACAGTCTACCATCTCAGGGGCCTTCGACCTTCGTTTTCATGAACTTGTCCCGGAATTTGCTTGCTAACTGTTGTGACAGCTACCTCGTCTAGTTTACTCTTTTTTACCTAGCCCTTTAAGACTATTTTAGCTGTTTTATTCACGACTTTGGTCTTTCTCGGTCTTCAAAACCTTCATTTCTCGATGACCATATTACCATCCATTACATTCGTATTTTTCCACCTTTCAGCGATTTCTTTAACTCAAAGATAAGCATAGCCGAGAGTTTTTGCTCTAAGAGGGGTTGTCTTTCATGATATTCACAAAAAACAACGAAAGAATTCGAGCAATTTGGGCTACAAAATGCAAAAAATATATGTGGCTGGAAAATATATCTTGCGCGCGAGAGTACCAAAGGTATTCAAGTCAAAAGATATGGTACGACAAGTATGAAATATTAAATAAGATTGAAAAGACACAACTTTTATTTACAGCGATTACCACTAACACGCGCCCTCAAGGGGTTTTTTCTTCGGTTCAAACCTGCCTTTTGGTGGACGTCAATCAACCGTTACCATGGTTTTCACACGTTAGCCGAGAGAAGATTCTTTCCCCGTTTCGCAAGCACTCGGAGGAAAATGTCGGTGTTTAAGCCGTGTTTGCAATATTATTTTGCTACAGGATCTGACACCGCTTCGTGTGAAGATTACGAGGAGTACGAATTTGTGGAGTGTGTAAGTTACAACCACATAAGCTTTCTCAATACACGCTGGCAACTCGTCTGAGTTCTTGCCACTTCAGGATTCTATTGAGTATTCGATATTATTAAAAACTGAATCATTGGATAATGCAATTCTAGCATTTTGATTGGCTTAGCCGTTATGGTATATGAGCTAATATACCATGTTCTCCATATATGGTCGGTGTACGCGTCAGTTTAAAATTGGAAGCTAGCTGAGATTTTTTTTCGCGAAGGATAGAACGGCGCCCGAAGCAAATCATTTTAATTCATTTCTTAGAATACTAGAAATGCAATTTCAGCGCAAGAAAAAAGACAAAAACAAACAAAAAAGTCACAAGAGCTTGTCTGAAAGTTTGTCCAAAAACACATGAAAACACATGGAACTAAAGTACCTTGACCAGCTACGAAAGAAGACAAGTGTTGTTTCTTCATGATCGCGAAGCCATTCGCCGATCAAGTCACTCGCCGATAGATAACTGCAGCTTGTTTATCCGAAATCAAGAATATAAATCACAAGTAACCCGCAGCTACAAATACAGGCTATGTAGCCATTCACTAGAGCAATCGAGGCGGCAGTATAGCTTCTTTTCTCGTTCAGCAAAACCAGCTTGTGGCTTCAAACAACTTCATAACAAGCGACGAGGTAATACCGGTAGTTTTTCTCCGTTGTTCTTACTTTTATAACTGCACCGAAAATCTAAATTCATAGTAATTTCGACGGCTGTCACTTAAAAATTCCTTTCCTTCACATATCTGCCAGGTTTTTTAAGCTGTTCTGCTGTGTAAAATCCTAGAATCACGATGAGTTTTTAAAAAACTAATGTTCATCGCTACAATGTTTTGATTTTTCATTCATGCAGTCTAGGCGAGTCCGTTCGCGCGTTGACAGTTTTGATAGACGTGTGACATGTCAATAGCGGAAGTCCCTTGTCTTTTCCGGTTTGTTCTAGTGGGGGCAATTCAACGAGATTTTGTGGGCGTTTTTAATAAAACAATTATTCCACTCGGGCTTGTTGGATATGAAATGATTATAGCCAACTCGGCGCTATGCGCCTCGTTGGCTATCTATCATCTCATATCCAACGCGCCCTCGTGGAATAATTGTTAAATATGAAGAATGACAACTAGATCTTCAGGTTACAAAATTCATTTTCGAAAACAGCCTCCGTTCAGAGGAAACCTTTGTCCCTTGACGGTGTGATATCTTCCGTTTCTTTAGTGCGGGCCATAGACAGTTTTGTCTATATGGTTTCTTGCAATATGATTGGTCGAGGCAAAACCAAAACAAAGAAATTTGGCCGAGAGGAACTGGGGCGACCTAAACCTTGTGCACGGAAATGTGCACGGCGGCCATATTGCAACGCGACAACATCACCGTAAAAAATACACACAAAATTGACAATAATTTAACGAGAAACAACATTTAATTCTGAATTTGTACGTCATGAATCATTGTATGTTCTAATTTTCGATATCGATTGTCATCAGCTCTCCATTCTCGCACTCCGCTAAAGACGTGCGGACTCTGTCGAGCACAGCCTTTTTGTGCTCGCGTGGACCTTCAACGTGAACAGTAGCTGGGATGTAAGCCCCTCCACCAGCCTGTTTATTTCTTTGGAGCTTTTGGGCTGCGTTGGGACGTACAGAAACCGTTGGTTCTCCGTTGACAATCCTTAGAGAGAAGAGACAAACGCAGATTAAAAAATTCAGGCCGACGAATTCCAAAACTGTTCACCGGTACAAGTAAACTGAATAGCTTCGTTTCAATTTATTACACAGAAAAATATTCAGACAAAGGAGATAACCGATAATTCACTTACCCTTCAATCCGCGATATCTTGCCACACTCCAGAAGGTAGAATAGCTCCCTGTTTAAAAAATACTGAATTCTGCCGATCTGAGACCCTCGCACATCTTCCAAAGTGTAACTTTTTCGCTTTGATTTGCTGTAAATGGCCATTTTCCGCAAAGGCTCCGGAATTAGTTCCAATTCGGCAGGGATAAGACATGCCAGTGCGAAGGGATCATACTCGTTGTAAGCTTCCTTTCTAACGATAAATGGTGTCCCAGATGGTGCTTTAACCTTGAAATGATGATATCTGAAAATTATCCAAATTAAACAGCGTAAGCCATGGAGATATAAGCGCCAAGTAAGGCTTTGTTTTCTGAAGGAATTTCACATGAAGTGCGGTAAGGCAATTAGTTTACGCAGAAAATACCACTGCTGCAAAACTTACCCTTTGATTTGAACACCTTTGAGGGAAATTCTGAAAAAGTCCATTGTCGCGGCCATGCTGAAGGATTGCGCCCACTTTGTTCCGAGGATTTGAGACCCTTGACCAGCTCGGCACCCAACTCTGCCGTTTCCGGTGAGATGTCCAGATGACACTTCTAGAATGCTAGTTACCAATGAAATAACTGCTTGTTCCAATGTTGGTTTATTTGTGGTGTTGTGAAGAACTCCCACTGCTCTTACGCAAGTGTTTCGCGTGGACATTTTTGTCAGTCTTATATTTAAAAATTGAAGCGATCTCAAAAACTGTTTTGGAACCATGAATTCGATAAGCCCTGATGTAAACGGTACTGAAGGCGAAGCTTGGTAAGTAATATTTTTTTCATCATGCTCATGTTGTTGCCCAGTTGAAACCTTTTCCGGTTCGCGCACGTGTACATGTAGATGCTTATTGAATGTTTTGAAACAAACCGCTGAAAGTTAAAAGAATACAGTAAAATTCCGACAATTAGCCCCTCCATGTATAAGCCCCTCCAAATATCAGCCCCCCAAAATCGTAACGCAAAAAACCCTCCGTTAAATCGCCCCTCCGAATATAAGCCCCCCGGGGGGCTTGTACTTGGAATTTGCCCTCAAATACAAAGTAAAACAAAGCAAAATTGGTAAATTTCCTTCCCACTACAAGCTAGTCCAATCGATTTTGAAACGCAAATTTCCCTCCGTACATAAGCCCCTCCGAATATAAGCCCCTCCAAAAATAAGCCCCTAAAAAGGGCCTTTGAAAAATATAAGCCCCGGGGCTTATTTTCCGAATTTTACGGTATCTTTTCGGCGGGTAGCAAGGTACCTATTTGGACAAGCAGGAACATTCCTATCATAACTGCTCTGGTCTCTTTCTTAAAAAGTTGTAAATAAGTCTCGTGGTTTTCAATTTGGCAAGCGCCCCCAGTTATACCCTCAATTTTTGTACTTGTAATCATTAGAACCTTACACTGAACTCGAACAATGGCAATTGTAGTAAAACTACTTACTTTATATTCGCAGTGGAACTTCGCAAAAGGCCGAATTAAAAAGAAATACACCGAGAAGGGGGAAAGAGAAAATGGCCTACATAAGCAACTCCCAGGCGAGGTCTTCCGCGCTATACCGGCGCAAGGCGACTTTATTTCAGAAGGGTCACGCTCTTCACACCATGACAAAGGCTGAAGTAACTATTGTAATCGATCACAAGGGACAGCGTTTTGTCGGCGGTTCTCTGGGCCTTTTAGAAACATATAATAAAGGAATACTTAAGCCCACCCGAGCCGAGCACAGATACGATGCCCCTGAGACTGTAACAGACCCTGATCGCCCTGAAATCGAACCGCTCGAAGACACTCCTGAACATATCAATATTGATCATCGTTTGGCTGGCGTTCTAGGGCATTCATCAACGAGAGGTGAGACTCGCGTCCCTCCTTCTAGAAAGAGGTTGCACTATGGTGATAGTCCTGACGCTGTGATACCAACTCCTGTTAAGGAATTATTGTTGAATAAACCGATGTCGCAACTCACCGACAAAGAGAAAAATGACGTTCCCACCGTCCAGAAACAGAGTAAAATATCATTTATTTCTGACGAGAGCGTAGAGATCTTTGTTGCTGGAGAGGAAGAGTGATAGCAGATACTGTATGGATGATATATCAATGACCCTCGTCAGCTAATTAAATTGTTATTGTTCCTGGTAACTTTTGGGCATTTCCCAAAACAATCAGAACGTTATGTTTTGTTAATGTTTATTGAAGCTATATGAACCGTCAAAATACATAGCTCTACAAGGCAACTCAGTATGTGCTATTGTTTCTGTTAAATTGAACTGACTTTTTTTTGAAAAACTACTGTAGCAATTGAACAATCATTGATTAAAAGCAAATAGTCCATTAAATTACTTATGGCTGTTGTAGTATACCGATAATTGCGTAAAAGGAGGAGGGGTGGAATCTCACATATAAAAGTGATGTACATGTAAATGGTTATTGAAAGTTTTGAAACAAACCGCTGAAAGTTAAAAGAATATCTTTTCAGCGAGTAGCTACGTACCTATTTGGATAAGCAGGAACATTCCTGTCATAACCAACTGCTCTGGGCTCTTTGTTAAAAAGTTGTATAATAAGTCTTGTGGTTTTCGGTTTGACAAGCACCCCCAGTTATACCATCACCCCTCCTCCGTGCATTCCTATAAATTTTTGTATTTGTAATCAGGAGAACCTTACACTGAACTCGAGAAAAAAATCCATTTAAGGTGACTCAACCCAGTTTTTTTGGGGGGTACCATCCTACTTTGAAGCTCTCTGGTATCCCCACCTTTACTTTTATCGTAAGTCTAACACATAGAGTGGATAACATATAGATCAATCTGCAATATAACATAAAATTTTTGGCGATCGGAGTAAATGTCACGTGGTTATAATGCCACGCCCCTTTGAGGTCTGAGTCGAAAATCGGCTGTTGCCGGCATTTTTTGGTGAAAATCTCTCGGCTACACATAGTGCGCATTAGTGCCTTGCGCTGAACAGAGTTTCACCAAAATCGCAAAGACCCAATTCGAGAAATTCAGCGGTTCCAAATTTAGGTCATAATTTATGCGAAAATGATAAGCAAACTTTACACGGATTATATCTAATAAACCAAGAGATTCATCCCTTTATTTTGGGCATCGTTATAACAGATGGGTCCTTGCAAATCAGCAAAACGCTTTAGGGCCTTGTAAATGCGCGCGATTTCGAGCAAAGCAAACATATAGAAATTATAGTTTTCGCTATTTGTTGACGTTTGTCAGCGTTTGAGAGTCCTTCTCACGAAAAAAGCATTTTCTTAAAAAATTCGTAGTTTTTTTTTTTTCCTTCAAATTTTTTTCAGGCCACAATTGATTAACTAACTACCTGGACTCTGAATTTCATGGTCATTGAAAAACTGTGACATTATCTTCTATAAGCTCAAACTTGAGTAAACATTGAAGATTTTTAGCGTTTTTTGAGTTTTTGCTTTGGGAATTGTCTATTGTTTCTAGTCTGTCATTATACAGCATTCTTGTTCAGCACGCGTGCAATGACCACGCTTGGCTGACTTCCGAATGCTCACCGAGATATTCCGTCACGAGTTGGTTTAATTATTTGCTTGCATTAAACCTATGAAAAAATGATATTTTGTAATAGTAAGTAGACTTAGTGTAGCACTTCTTGATTTTTTTGCAAAGTCACAAGAAGCACGAGAATTGATTAAAAATTGTTAGTTAAACCTCTATGTATTACGATGGCCTGTCTCACTGTACCAAATTTATAATATCTCGGTGAGCATTCGGAAGTCAGCCAAGCGCGGTCATTGCACGCGTGCTGAACAAGAATGCTGTATAATGACAGACTAGAAACAATAGACAACTCCCAAAGCACAAACTCAGCCAAAACGCTAAAAATCTTCAATGTTTACTCGAGTTTGGGCTTATAGAAGATAATGTCACAGGTTTTCACTGACCATGAAATTCAGAGTCCGGGTAGTTAGTTGATCAATTGTGGCCCTGAAAAAATTTGAAGGAAAAAAAACTACGAATTTTTAAGAAAATGCTTTTTTCGTGAGATTGACTCTTAAACGCTGACAAACGTCAACAAATAGCGAAAACTATAATTTCTATATGTTTGCTTCGCTCGAAATCGCGCGCATTTACAAGGCCCTAAAGCGTTTTGCTGATTTGCAAGGACCCATCTGTTATAACGATGCCCAAAATAAAGGGATGAATCTCTTGGTTTATTAGATATAATCCGTGTAAAGTTTGCTTATCATTTTCGCATAAATTATGACCTAAATTTAGAACCGCTGAATTTCTCGAATTGGGTCTTTGCGATTTTGGTGAAACTCTGTTCAGCGCAAGGCACTAATGCGCACTATGTGTAGCCGAGAGATTTTCACAAAAAAATGCCGGCAACAGCCGATTTTCGACTCAGACCTCAAAGGGGCGTGGCATTACAACCACGTGACATTTACTCCGATCGCCAAAAATTTTATGTTATATTGTAGATTGATCTATATGTTATCCACTCTATGTGTTAGACTTACGATAAAAGTAAAGGTGGGGATACCAGAGAGCTTCAAAGTAGGATGGTACCCCCCAAAAAAAAACTGGGTCGAGTCACCTTAAATTACTACTGATGTGACTTTTAGCTTGGATTAAAATCTAGGCCACATTATATTTATCACTGTTCATGCAGCCTTCTATTGCAACTCAATGGCAGGGAAACATTCCTTGGTACAGTATGTGCATGCATACACGAAATTTAACAAAGTGAAACATTTTTAAAAAAATGGATAAATTATTGAGATAAAAATCTAGAAATTACATACACAGAAAAAAAACCACTGTGATCCTGCTAAAAGTCCTGCCAGCAGTTTGCAAAATTTCATTTAAGTGTGTAATAGAGTCGATACCCGACACAAAATCTGACAAAAGCAGCACAATTTTGTTTTACTACTCAATGAAAGGATACTGAAAATATCCATGTTCCCACCACAGAAGGGATTGGAAATTCCGGGGGGCCTCAAAGACCAAAAATACTATAGAAATCTGTGGGTCCAGAAAATAGCCATACCCCCAAGGATGGTTTTATGGTTCGGACCCTCCTACCCTACCTGGAATTTCCAGTTTTGCTTCATACTTTCCCTTCAAAAATTTGACTTTTGAGACCCCCCTCCCCCTCGGAATTTCCAGTGAGCATCCTTGTGATGGGTGTGGACATTTTCAGGAACCACACAATGTATGAAGTTAAATTTGAATTTCTATAGGGGCTAGGGTTCTTATTTTAAAAAATCCCTTCCGTGGAGGAGGTATGGATGTTTTATGGATCAGCAATTTTTACAACTTCATAATATACAATATTATCATCAGTCAACCTCTCCATCTTCATCATCTTCCAAAATACATTGTTCGTCAACTGCTTCAAGGTGCTGAAGCTCTTCAATTATGTCATTGTACAATACAAGCAGTGCATCCTTTTTGGCTTTACTTTGGTGGGCCTTAAAATATTCCAGCTTGCTAGACGGAGGTCCTCTTACCTCTTCATCAAAAATCTGCTGTAGTTTATCTCCAATGCGTTTCAGAATTTCATCCTTGGTGGCATTCTTTATATCTTCAGCTACAGCCCTTTCTTGAACAGTTACATAAAGTCTTTGTACCTCCACCTCTGTTCGCTTCTTGCCATCAATGAAAATGTTCACTGAGCAGTCTTCTCCGGTTATTCTGCAAAATTTCTTCTTAGTTTGGGAGATCCTTATCCAATTCAAGGCCATCCAAGGAAATTAGCTTCTCTGAACAGTTCCCCTCCAGATACCTGTAGGAAACCATTAAAAATACAATAATCATCAGGGAAGGAAATCAGGGAAGGATTTGGCCAACATACATTACAGGGAAATTTGCCATACCATAATAATAATTATGGTTTCTAATATAAAACAAACTTTGGAAAGTTGGGAATTAGATGACAAAAGTCTGTGAGCTGAGGTAATGACTTCAACTTTATTCTCATACAAAGCAATAGCAGTTACCATGTATCATGTTAGCAAAAATTGTTAGGTCTAAATTTGGAGGGTATATCATACACTGCAATAAAGGTCAAAGAGGTGCACTTGAAATAGTACAGAAACTTGCCTTTCTTTTCGAAGCTTTATCCTCCATGCAAGCACTGCATCTCCAAAGTCATTTTTTTTTTTCTAGACTCTATGGCTTCCTCTTTTGGGTTTTGTAAACCAACCATGGTGAAGAACCAGTTTCTCACCTATAGTGATATTGTTATAAACATTTCAATATTTATGTAAAATATCTGAAAGTAAATGCCACAGTGATTATACAACAGAAAGGTGTCCCTAATACATGTAGATGGTCCCACCATTTGCTACAATTTCATCCGCAACATGTGTATGAAAAGTCCAGCAAACGGGGACTACCATTATAAAAATATTAATACTTTTTAGTTACAAGATAAATGTCATGTCCCAGCCTACAAGAGTTAAAATAATATTATCATCCGGCATGAAAACACACGTCCACATGTCTACTTGCCCTGTTAGCAGCTACCAGATTACATAGATGGCATTTTTTTTCTCTGGTGCCTGCTAACAGATATAATTATATGTACACACATGCAAGTAAAAAAGGTAAACAAACCTTGCTCAAGTTTCCAAGATTTCTGAAAATTCGGAGCCAGTCAAGAGCAACCATCTTGCCATGCTGCCACACTTTCGAGTCCTTATTTACTTCCTCTAGGCAAGCATCCATATCTTCTCCTTTGTTCATGTTACCAGAGGTACTCACAGATTCTGTGGTTTCCACAAATTGATTGAGTTTTCCTGGGTAGTGAGCACGGACAATGCTATAAATACATGTATTAACAGGAAAGAGAGAATAAACAGGTTGCTTTAAACAAGACCTTTATTTAAAGTTGGACTGCACTAAAAATTATGTGATCTAATGCATTCCAGAGAAGACCCCACACATTTACAATACATGTAAATGTACAAAATTTTACATGTAAAAGTTTATTACTGTTAGTTACAAAATGTGTGTACTGCTACAATGTACAAGTAAAATGGGCTAATAGTTAATCGTGGCTGGCTTATGCCTTTTTTCGATTTCAAGGCTATGCTCAAATTTTTTGGTTTTGTTTGTCACACTTAACAATACAAAATTTTTGGGCAACATTTGACAGTTTATCTCAAGACCCCTTTTCACCCATGTGGCCTTGAAGATCCATGTTATATTTTTGCAGTGCGACCCATAAAAATGAATATTGGCTGCAAAGCCAAACGGATCAACATGGGCCTCAAATTCAAACAATTTAATTCCACTCACCTGTCGTGTAGATCTATCAATGCATATTTTGATGAGCTACTTCTATGGAACAAAGGTGCAAATGACAACTGCCCTGCTCTGATGTAGGAATTATTGTTCCTTCTCACACGTTCCATTGTTGTTTGGCAAACAGGGCAAACACGTCTTCCTTCATTTGCTTTTTTAATTCATCTACACGCAGGTCAATGTCATCTTTCCATTCACCGTTGACTTTATTTTGCTCCATTAGCAAAATCATGAAGAAGTTCATGGATGATCTTTTTTGTTCTGAAGTCATAAGAAAATAGAAGAGTCTTATCAATATTTAAGCAATATCAAAAATTATTACAATGTGTTGCAGTTGGTGGAGAAAGTGGCATGAGCAAAGGTATTTAAACGAAACACTAAGCACAGTAATGCAAAAGCAAATTAAATTCAAATTACTTTTTAATAAATCCAGCACCAATAAATTACTACTGATTGTTAGAACATGTGTGTTAAGGCATTTCTTTATGATAGACAGCTTATAAATAAATTCCTTCAAAATCAGTGCATGTTAGAAAAACCAGTCACACTTCTCATGAGACATTAAAATGTAGATTTCTTTTGTGATTTGAGACCACAAAATTGTTTTCAGTAAACTGGCTACATGCTCACAGATAGCTAAAACAAAAACTTCTTTGTGTTTGAGGTAGCTTGCTAGCCAATACAGAAAGCAAAAATGATCGACCGTCTCTAAGGTAGGAATCAAAAGCATCTTAAATAAGTTTGCTCATCTGAAAGCCTTTACCTCGTGGCAAATCAATCCCTTGTTGTCCTCTGAAGCAGAGCACATGTCCAAAAGCTTTAATACCTTATCCTCTTCACTTTTCTTCCAAAGTTCACTTCTTTTAGACCATGAACTGAAACAATAATATAAATTGTATACATTGAACATGTTGCTGTGACAAGAAGTATTAGTTGCTACATTGTACAAGTAACCTTTCAAGACATTTCCTGGTACAAAAAAATATCATTTGAGCTTACACCCTGAACAATCATTACTGATTTTTAGGAAATACATGACCATTTTTATTTCTACAACTTCTAAATAATGTAGGTAGTTGTACCTTATCAGTGGAAAGTACACCCCTCTCTCGCTTAGCTTTAACACAAACTATTATTACCAGAAAACTGCATCCCCTAAAGAGTAAGGACCATGTTACATGTAAATTTTGTGAATTTTTCTTTTCTTTAACCATTTCCTGACCAGTGGCAACCCAGGTCATTCATTAAGTTCCTTGCCTTAGTTATCAGTGCAGCTGTTACAGCTTGCCGCTTTTCCGCATTTAAGTGTAAAATATTAAAGCAAATTAAAAACAAAATATTACAGAAATAAGAAGTACATGTAGCAGACTTAGAGTGACCATGTACACTTTTACTTACCCTGGAGAAAGACTTTGGTCCGACTGCAAAGTTGCCTGTGGATGGACTGGAGCCACACAAACACTGGTTAGAACACTAATCTGTGCTTGGTTATCCTTTCGGACAGTCCATTTTTTGATAAGTACTTGATCATTGTCAATAGCAGCAAGAGTATCACCACCAGGAACTTGAGGGACATCCATGGTCAAATTGTTCAGCCACGTTCTGGCAGTTGTGATACCACCAGCAGGATGCAACTTCCACAGATATTTAGGACAAGCTTTTCACAGTGACTGAGTATGCAAGTAAATTTGATGCAAACATCAAGGGGCTAATGAAAGATGGCTGCACTAGGGAATAAAGTTGATCAACACTGACAGCTTTCTGAAAAGGTTGAGTTTTTCATTTGCAAAGTGCATTAACTCCAGAAACAAGAATGCAATTTCAGGCGTGAACCCATGTATGAGGTTGTGTAACTTTCAAGAGCACAGGCAGACTTTTGTAGGTTTGACTACAGGATGAAATATCTTTTAATATTTTCTTTTCTAGCTGGAAAATTTTTGAAGTCAGATTAATTTTATCTTGACTGTTCCAAACAACGAATGGATGTTTCAAGGTTCTCTCTGTCCAGAAAATGAGATTAAACTGGTCAGCAAGTTCCGTGGCACATGCAGGGCCAACTCTCTGTCCAACAATGGAATGTTTTCAATTGGTGCACGAATTCTTGGCAAGAATTCTTCTCTTCTTCTGTTTCAATTTCCTCACCACTCTCAGTGTCACTTTCACATCTTCGTCCACAACCTTTCTTCAACACTTTTTGGAGGACGCCCTCTGGCTTTCTTAGTACATGGACAGTTTCCTTCAGAGTGACTTGTCTAAAAAATAAGGTCGTTTGAGTCGACACTTTGCATGCACATCTGTATTGCCACGAATTCGATAAAGTGATCGTTTGCATCCAGCGAGATACTATTGGGATGAATTTCTTTCAAGTCTTCCTCAATGTTTATTTGAAGCTGGTTCAATAACTCATTTTTAAATAAACTTTTGTCCGTAAATCAGACTTCCTTTGAAAGGACTTTTCCACACAGTCGACAAAGCTGTCCTTAAAACGATAAATGACCATCCATGAGCTGCAAAGGAGATCAAAATAAGAGCTTTAGAATTGAAAGTCAATAGATAAGCAGCAGAAAACACTGAAGAGCCAATGTTGCCAAGAGCAAATTATCAGGATGTTACACTAAAAAAACAAGGTGCACTTGAATTCCGTTTTGATGTTTTTCATGCAAATGTATTGGAGAACACCACTGCATTTTTCTCTTTTGAAAAGAGTGTGACTGAGGCAGGTTTTAGAGTTTTTATTTAAATAACAAAACAGGCTTGTAGCCACAAAGTAGTTTAAAGTGCTTACTGCACTTCTTTTTGTAAGGAATTTATCAATACAGGGAATAAAATTCTTGTGATTTTGATGCAGGGAGTGGTAGTGTGACTTAAGGAAAATGCATGTATGAAAGATTATGTATGTATCTTAATTCTAAATAATTATGACTGTACAATAAATAAGTCTAAGGCATAGGTCGCACTTGGGAAAAAGCAATACGTAACTGAACGAAGTACAATGAT